GAAAGACGTCAACGAGAAACAGCAGATCAGCGTTAAACACGACTCCGTGCTCAGCAATCACAATCGCCTTGCATTCCGCTACAACCCAGCTGATGATTATAGTTTGAGCCGGCATGTTATCATCTGCACTATGACTGAAGTGTGTCCTTATTGCAAGGCTCTGAAATTTAATGGAGAAACGAAAGGAATGTGTTGCGCCGCCGGAAAATTAAACTGCCTCAACTTGGAGAACCGCCAAAGCCATTAAAAACTTTGCTTGCCGGATATACCGCCGAAGCAAAGCATTTTCTATCTAACATCAGGAAATACAACTCATGCTTCCAAATGACATCGTTCGGCACAGAAATCGTAACAGTTCGATTCATGCCAACTTTAAAAGTGAAAGGACAAATTTATCATAAAGCCGGCTCCCTGCTTCCGTTCCCAGATGGTCAACATAAATTCCCACAAATGTATTTCATCGGTGATGGCAATGATGAATTGAATGCACGCTGCGGAATTTCTACCGGCATAAAAAGGTCCATCGTTTCCCAACTGCAAGTGCTTCTTCATGAAAAAAACAATTTAGTGCGTTTGTTCAAAACAGCAATTGACATGATGCCATCTGATACACACAAGATTGTTATTCATGCTGGCAAAACGCCTGCTGGAGAACATGTGCGAAGATTCAATGTTCCAACTATAGACAAAGTGGCAATTGTTATAGTCGGAGATCAATTCCAACCTAGAGATATTGTTCTTCATCGGAGAAACGATCAATTGACAAAAGTTGCAGAAACTCATCGATGCTACGATGCTCTGCAATATCTAATCATTTTTTGGGATAGTGCCGATGGATATCACTTCAACGTTAAGATGATAAATCCAGTCAGTGGCGAAGAAACAGATATGAAATGATTCGAGAGAATGAAGACAATCACATTTTGAAATGCCGTCAATTGTTTCACCAACACATCTTAGATATGTATGCAAAAATCGAAACAGAACGTTTGATATTCATCCGTTTGAATCAGACCAAGCTTCGCTCTGAAGAACACGTTCATTTGCGAGATGCAGTTGTAAATGACGGTAATACAACTAACGTTGGAAGACTAACGATTTTGCCATCTTCATATACAGGCAGTCCACGTCATATGCAAGTACGCTCAGGATGCA